ACTTCCGTGTATGTTTACTGTATTATTATATTAGAATGTAATAAAATGCTCTGTTGTTTATTTAGTTCTCAAGATGAGGTATTTAAAAATGAGGAATTTCTAGAAAGTGGGAGAAAAATTTAATAAAAAAGAAGCCAGCAGATGAATCATTTAGACTATGGAGCTGTCTGTTGTAGGCTGCTTTAAATGTCTAATGTGAGTGTGACTCTGAACACCCTAATATAAGAACCTGACTTTATTTTGTAGTCAGTGGATGAGGAGAGAGGGGCATTTTCTGCAGGTAGCTTAAGCCACCCAAGGTACGTGCTTAAACTTAGAGCAAAAGTTCCTGTGTGTTTGGAAGTATTGTGTGCAGTGTTGGAAGAAGGACGTTCAAACAGCCAACTTGGGTATTTTTCAGGATCCGTTTTTAAAAACTGAAAGTACTTGGACATGCAAGTAAGGCTTCAGTTCCAAAACTTCGACAAACATCGATATGTACCCTCAGATTGTTCATTACTAAGTCACATAACAATTGCTGTGACATCTGTTGTGTGAAATGCTGTTTCATTTATTCTTGCAACAGTTTTGTATATTCATACAACATAGTCTTTTGCATGAAAAGGATTTTGTAACAAGGTCTACATGAAAACACGTGTGGGTTCCTGAAGTATCAGTGCTGTAGCAGTACTTCGTGTAAGGAGAGGGGCCTGGAGAATGCAGCATCTTGCAGTGGGGAGCTCCTGAATGGAGATGGGGATTGATCGGTGACTCACAGTTTAGCTGGAGCATCGCTTTGTTTCTTGGGTGTGCTGGAGGGAAGTCTCAGCAAACAGCACTAGTTCAGCCAGCTCTAAGCTAAACTCTTTGCTTCTGTGTGTTTTGATGATCTTTGCCATCAGTTTCTAAAATGCTGTGAAGACAGACTCTGTGTACTCTTAGGAATTTACTTCATTGTTGTATTTTTTGCAGCAGTTCTTTGTGTATTGTGTTGATACCTTTGTAAAAGAAGGGCTTCGGTTTAATTGCTTTGCAGGCTATCTGTATTGCCTAGTTTAATTTGGAAAGGAATTGAACAGCCAAGATTTAGTCTTCCTCAGAATCTTGCATAAGAATTTTTTTGGCTTTTTTTTGTTCATGGACTGTTGGGTTATATAGTCCTCCCAGCACCTGTGATTTCTTCCTGTTTCGACCCACAGTTGTAGCAACACCGACTCTGAATTTCCTGGGTATTATGAAGATACTGAGATAATTCCCTTCTTTTTAAACTATCAGAGAAATACTATGGATTTAAGAATTTTTAAAACATTAGGCTCCAGAGGAAATGAAGTAACAACCCTAAATATCACCTTTGTAGTAACAGTTCTTCTGTGGATTTTTTTCCCCAATGTGGGTCTTAAGGCTTAGTAATCCCTGATCACAGTGTGCAAGTGCTTCCAAAGTATGTATGCACTTGGAGGGACGGGTGCCTGCTTCTCTGGTAAGGTGTGGTAGATACGTGAGGAGTGATATGAAAAGAACTATAAAACTGAGTGGGATGAAGCAGCCATACAGGTAGGATTAGCAGAACACATGTGAGGAAGGGGCATCGAGTAAGAGATGGACATGCATAGAAAAGCCATGAGCGGAGTTCTGAAAGCAAAGACAAGTAGTTTGAACTTCATGGGTACCTCACATATTAAGAAATGAAATTAATGTGAGCACATCTATCCCATAGGGAGATTTTTATTGCAACTTTTTAGAAGCAGAAGCCAATGTAGCAGAGGAGAATAAGATTTACAACTTTTTATAGTGTGTTGGGAGGGTAACTTAATGAAATGCGTTACAGACTGAACTCAAAAGTGACTGGTGTTAATGATAAACTGTCAGGTACTAGCAACTGTGTTTTTTCTGTCTATAATTAGGGATGCATAAATTAACTCCAAAGGTACCACTGAAGAGATTCAGTTAGCTTGGGTATTTGCATAGGCGCTAGTGATGAGCAGCATACTATTTAGCAAAATAGTCTTTGCACAAAAATTAACATGCTGATTATCTAATGTTTAAATAAATTGCACTCTTCTGTGTGTACTTCAGTTCCTGAGACTACTTCACATGTTACTTCTAACTTAGAAGATGTAAGTTGAATCAGTGGATATGTTCTCGAAAAGAATTGTTTTATTCTAGCTCTTACATTCTGGGTTCAATTTGTAGTTTTAGCTCAGTCAGAGTGAGATGGATGCAGGTCGTGTGCTGTAGTGCAGTACTATGTAAGAGGTTAAAAAATGTGGAAGCTGTGATAAATTCTGAATTTGCACTGCTCTTGTTTTAAAAGGGATTTAAAACTGTGGATCATGCAATTTTTTCCCAATTGGGCTTTTTTAGCTGAAATGTGATCAGTGTAATGCAGCTGTTTTAAGTCTGTGATGAAAGCCAGCTTAGTGTTCTTTAAAACGTTCTGCAGCGCGACAGCTGTTCTGTAGCTCTGTGTTCCGTACTCGTGAAAACCATTAGGCAGTTATCTGTATTGGCAGAATATTACTCAGCATGCCTCTGTCGTTAGGGAAATAGTCTTTAGGCCTCAAATGTGACTGAACTTAGAATTCTTCTGACTTGAAGAGTAACTCTAGATTGTGAATGTGCAGTAATATAAAATTTTCTTTCCTGGGCTTGTGTGCAATGTCGTTGTCCTGGTTAAACAGTCTCAGTTCTGCTGATTGCAATTCTCCTTGGAGGTTGTACATGTACTACAGTGGAATGATGACTTGATACGACCCCCAAAATGTCATTAAAAAGAAGGTGAAATTAAATTTCCTTTGGAGTCTGAAAGAGCTTGTGATAGGTCTGATGACTCTGAAATCTCTAAAGAGAATCTTGTGGAAACCAAGAGAGAAATTTGACTCTGTAGCTGTGAAGGGGGTTAATATCCCCTTTTCAGGATGAGAGAGATACTGGTATGTGCTGCCTTTTGTACCCAAAATGTTTGAAAGCTGGTAAAGATTCATGACTAATTCACAACAGCATGTGTTGAATTATGATGACTAATCTTATTTTTGCTGTAAATCTAGAAAACACCTTGAGTATCATTAAAATATTGTCATATAATTGCAGCCTGAATTAAGTATGTTTGTATATTGGAAAAAAAAAAAGCTTAAAATTGAATTCTGTTTTCTGTAGTGTTGCGGCTTAAATATCGATATTCCAGTGGTGCGTGAGGACTTGCTGAAGCTCATTTGAAATCAAGATTAAAAAATGCATACTTAATGACTTCTTTTGCGTGCCCAGGCTGTGTAAAAGATAACTGGTGTGTGGAAGTGGTTTATAACAGGCGTTCTTTGAGACAGTATGGTGTAGCTTGAGAAATTCAACTATGACAGCGTAGTGTTCCTGTGTGACCTTCTGGCTAGCTGGATCTTCGTGTCTTTTCCAGAGAGCTATTTCCACTGTGTGTGTGCAGGTGCCCCTTTATAGAGAAGGAGATGCTTTTCTTCCATCGTGCATAGTGGGTTTTTCCATTCTCTTGCAGGACTTTGGGGAAGGATCGCTGTTTGTAGAAACAAGCTTGTATTTTGTTTTCTATTTCTCATAAATCTTGTATAGCAAGTTCCTTGGAAACTGAACAACTTTGAGATAAGGAGTCTTTTTGCGAGTTACTTCCAGTTAGTTGCTTTAAAAATAAATGATAACTACATTTATTTCAGATAGCTGCTTTGGTGGGGGTTGGGGGGTAAGGGTTGTATGTGCAATTGTGGTTTTGTTCTGGGACTACCTTTGTGATCTAGTTTTGAACTTTCTGTTAATTAAGCTGCTTCACACTTTACATTTATTAATGTATAGCTTTCCTTTTCACTTGATGTTTATCAAGAACTAGTGCATGCTCACTTTTAAATGGAATCAGGAGTTAGCACCAAATAAAATGCAGCGGGAAAATAAACAAATATTGTCCTTTTCTGACTTTCTCTATTCCATACTTTCCCCTTGTTTGTTATCTTGAATCAAGTGTAACCTTGATTTCACATCCTTTTTCTTCTCCTCCTTCCTTTTTGACAAACCAAAGCTGTTTTAGATAAGAACATCAAAGAAGAGGAGAAAGAGGAGTATTTACAGTTAAATACCTACATTTCTTTAGTCCTCACATATAAGCCCTAAGCTCTGGAAAATTTTATGCAGTGTATCAGAAATTTAACGTAGTTCTTCATGTGTTAAATTTTTGGTTGTTTTAAAAGTGTCAGGCTTTTGCTTCTTAATATTATAAAGAAATAGGCTGTAATAGAACTTGTTCATTGAAACACTGATTTTACAGTACAAAATAGCAACTCTCTCTATATATGAAGTTACCAAATAGGATGGAGTTAGTCTTCGTAGGTTCTAAGAAGAAACATTATTTATACATATGGGTTTTATGTATGAGTTCCTGCTAAAGGGACAAGTTTTAGTAACGTACAGCTTAACATCACTAATTCACATGCATTTTTCTATAACGGGAGTTTAGGATTAGATACGATTTACCAAAGAGGTTTGATTTCAGCTTCAATTGTGATTAATAGCCATCATTTTTTATTTTATTAGGCACGGGCCTTGGGTTTTTGTATGGACTTAAACCATAAAGGTAGTATCTTGAGCATACCATTTTGTGATGAAGTGTCGTGTATGAAAATACATTTAGGAATACAGTTGATATTTACAAGTGTTCTTCCTCTCTCCAGACTCTTATTGCCCTATTTATGTTTAAGAGCACTACTATTTTTAGACAGAAAAATCACAAATGTTTCTTTTTTTCTACAAAACTTAACTTTACTCTGTGAACAAGACTAATCTAGTAAACATTTTCTGTAAAACCCAACAGTTGTGTAAATATGTGGGGATTGGGGGGGTGCAGGTTGTGGACCAGAATGCCTAGAGATTATTTTCATTGCAGAAATGGAGAAAGAGGGTTGCCTGTGACTCGGTGTCCAGATAGCTGCTATCTGGAGTTGCTAAGTGTGGATTTGAAGGTGTTTATAAATAATTAATTTTGATAATTTGATTACTCTTTATTGTAGTTCTGCCTTTGACACAAAAACTGGGTTGCGTGTGGCTGTAAAGAAGCTGTCCCGACCATTTCAGTCTATCATCCATGCCAAAAGGACCTACCGAGAGCTACGGCTACTTAAGCACATGAAACACGAAAATGTAAGTGCAAGATGGTATGAAAAGTTGGTCTAAAGTTGGACTATCCAGAGAGGATCCAGCATGATTGCATTTGTGGATCTTGTTGCATACATTTTTCTAATAAAAATACAAAGCTTGTAGTAGTCCAAGGGATTATGGGTGTAGAAAAGCATGCAGATTAAAAAAAAAAAAAAGGCAAGAAACCCAAAACACCAAAAAACCCCCCAAAACTCACATATAACCAATTTTGTATTAAAAAGTCTTAATATTTCCTGCAATAATCTGGAAATTACTGCTTAGCAGGTTTATGTTGTCTTAAGGATTTAGGACACAGGTGATGTCACTTACATTCTCCTGCTTGCTTGCTGTAGTAAGCTGTAGGTTTTGTTATGTTAAGAATTTATTTAAAAAAGAAAATCTCAAAGTTTGTTTTTAGTGTCTTCCAGAGAGTTTTTCATAGTTGTTGTTTTTTTTAGCTTGCCTATGTCAGAAGAGAGTGGTGTAGATGTTCACTAGATTCCTGTAGGTGAAATAGGGAGGAAAAAAGGGGGTGGTGAGGGGGTGGAAATCTGATGGCTTTTCATACAAGCCATCCACTTAAATCATCAACAGGGAAACAAAATAGGATGTGATAAATGTTACACTGAGCTATTTGTTTGATATAACCTCTGTTTGGTATAGATTGACAAGTTCTGTGTGTTTGTGACATTAACACACCAACGTACTTATATTGTATACTGTTTGGAGCAAATATCACGTGCAATGGTGCAGAAAGTCATAACCTCTCCTGTGTAGAGTCGTCGGAATGTCAAGAGGAAAGGAAGGCTCCTGATTTCTTTTGTCCAAGCAAACTTCAATTTAGCAGAAGGGAAATACTGTTTTGGAAGTGGGCTGAGCAAACCTAGGACCTTTATCTAGCACAAAAAGCCAAACAAGCCTAATTGCATTGGCAGGTTCTACTTGGAAGGTCTGTTCAGGACTTCTGTTGTGGCAGTGGTGGTTGTGTGTTGTGGCTTCTAACCACTGCAGTCAGCAGCTGGTATCCCTTAAATCTGCTCGGTGTTTTTAGTGTGGCTAACGTAATTGGAACTTCTGATGTGTATATCTACTATTGTCAACAATACTTCCTCAGTGCCTCTGTATGATACCATTGTCTCAAAGTAGAGGTAGCATTTGATCCTGCCTAATATCCAACCCCTGGACTTTTTTCTGGACCTTTTCTTGTACTTAAGACGTTCTCCAAACAGGAAAGCTTTGAACATGTGTTACCAAAAAAAATAAAAATCAGCATATCAGTCCCTTTTGTCTAAGCTAACAAGGTTAAGCAATGAAAATTAGATTGTGACTGGTGCTGCAACAGTTCTTCGTCTGGCATTCATTAATGTTTTTGGGTTAGTATTGCAAAGAGCCTATGTAGCTTTGAGATAAAAGGAAGTTAAGTTGTTTATATACAGAATATCAGTTCATCGTACTGTCATCTATCTGTGGGAAGTTTATCTAGGTTGTGGTTTAAAAATCCTGCGGATGCTGAGATGTTCAGAGCTGGTTCAGGCAGGCTTATTAGTGCTAGTGTCTTCACTATTCAGATCTTGGTTCGGAAGTAAACTATTTGGTTTTACGTGGCACAGAACACACCAGTAAATCTGGAACGTATGTCAGTTTAAGGGGCTTGAGCATAGGATGGTTTTCTATATCCTGTATTGTCTGGTACATGAAGATCTTGAGCAAATAAATGGACCTGCAGAGCACTTGAGCGTGTCTGCATTGTAATTTCAAGTTCCAGGAGGCCTTGTTAGCTTGCGTAAAGCACAACATTGAGCAGATGGGAGAGCAAATGGGTTTGTTGTCATATGAAGAAATTGTAAGCTCTGTGACATCCTAAAATGCTGGGAGGGGAAAGCAAAAGGTTAGGAGGTGGATTCTGTATCTACTGGTGTTCGCACTTACTGGTGTTCACACTTCCATAGAATTGAGTCAGTGATGCACTGCAGAATGACTATATAAGTGTTTGTGAAACTCGATGAAAGACATGGATTTTGCTACTGTGCTTTACAGTGTAGCAAGATAAAAATGATAAATGAAGAAGATCTGAGGTCTAGATAGCACAGTCAGTTTTTGTTTTTCCATGCTAAGCTGTGTGAATAACGCTGGGGTTTTTTTTCTGTAAAAACTGGTATGGAAGAGTCCACTGGAAGAAACTGGAAGCATGAGAATTATTATATAGGATGGATGTGCATGTTAGAATTTGAAGATAATGTCTGTCTGGAAATGGAGTTGCTGTGATGTATATCAAGACAGACAGGAAAGTGTTCTCTCTCTTCAGTTTCCTCAATAAAATGCAATCTGTGATGTATACTGTAGATTAGACAGAGGCTTTTATTTCCTACCCACTTGATCTTTTTCCCAAAATCATAGTCTAGGTTCCTCGAAGATTTTGTATTTAATTCTCTGCTTAGAAATAACTCAGTTGAGTCTGACATCCTTGACAAGTGTAAACAATGGGACAAAAAGGATGGTGTGAAGGGGAACACGGGAATCCAACTCTTGGTTTCATATGGACACTCGAACCATTGCTGAAGTTGCTGAAATGTGCATGATGCTTGTGTACCCGAGACAAGTGACACACTGACTTCAAAATGGAAGAGCAGTTTTTTGGAGGTGGATGAAGAGAACCTGTCCCTTTATCTCATATATTCATAAAATATTATTTGCTATTAAGGAAATTAAGAATTAAAAGCATATTCCAGAGAAAATTAGAACAATCTTTATCAACCAGATGGATTTATTTTCTGCTCTTCAGGCAGAAAATACAAATGACAGTGTGAAGCTGTTGTGAATATTTGGTCTTCAGTGCATTGCACTGTTTTCCTGACTTATTTTCTAGTGTAGTCATTCTTGTTCATTGCTTGTGTTACAGATCCTTGAATTTTTCTAGCTGTTACTGAGCAGAAGTGAAACAAATACAGTCTCCCAATTCTGATTTTAGTATGTGCTCAACAGTGTAACTAAGAATTGAGCAGGAAGCAAATGGTTTTGTCTGGTGGTTGTTTTTTTTTCTCATCCATTTATTTGCTGAATAGACTTTAGTTGTTTTTTGAAATAAGGTATTCTAAACCGATGTTTACACCTGCCTTTGTTATGGCTCCTGTTTGATGCTTTAAGAGGATGGCTGGTGTGAAAAGACAGCTGTATATTTTTATCCTTAATTTTTTTTAATACAAGAATTGAATGTTTGTTTCTGATCTTGTATGAATACTAATTTGTCTACATCTGAATGATTCATGTAGTTGAAAATGAAACATCTACTGGAATAAGTAGTTTCTGTTCCACGAAGGATCTTAGTAACTGTGTCATATTATACTGTGATTGTATTTCACAGCTTTTTCACTCTGCCATTTTCTTTCTAGGTGATTGGTTTGTTGGATGTGTTCACCCCTGCCAAGTCACTAGAAGAATTCAATGATGTGTAGGTAACTTCTCTGAAGACTGCAACAGAACATCTTTTGTATCTTCCTTACATCTCCCAGATTATTATAGAAATATTTGCCACCTTAATTTGTCTGCCGTCGTTCTCAAATGATTCTGAATTCCAACACAAAATATACTAAGACATCCTAAACTATTGGACTCTTCAAACTTGTTCACTTGTCTTTTATCGACCAAGGCTGTAGGAATCGGCATATTAATCTGCTATGTTGTTTAAAATGTCATGAGTTATATTTCATTCAGCAACATGCTTTGGGACAGTCAGCCCTGCTACTGGTGCTTCATAGGGAATTTTTATCCTAATCCTGTTGCAGGGATTGCTTCATAGCCTATGTGTTTCCCTTTGTTCATAGGTACTTGGTGACACACCTTATGGGAGCAGATTTGAACAACATTGTGAAATGCCAGAAACTCACCGATGACCATGTGCAGTTCCTCATATACCAGATTCTTCGGGGACTGAAGGTACTTGCACCTGTCCTACCTGAATGTTGATAGCGCATCAATGGGAGGTGGAAGTTCTTGATGAATGTCATATCCTTAGAGACTCATATGAATACATAGTGGGGCCTCTGTAGCTTTCCTAATGTATCGTAGGATAACCTATTATTGTTGTTCCTTCCTTTCATACCTCTTTGGAGCTCTGTATCAGTAAAGCTATGTATCATTTAAGAAGATATTTCTATAAGTTGCTAGGGGCAGAGTCTGGAAAATTATGAAGTATGCTGCCCTCTAATCTGCTATGAATACTCAGTTTCTTCAGTTCTGTTCACTTGCGTTGTTCCACTTGTGGTGGCAGTGCTCCCTGGGTGTTCCTAAGGAGAGACAAAGTGAAACACCTACCCGCTTGAAACCCGTAGAGACACACTCGGTTCCTTCTACAGAAAGCTGTAGCATTTGAATTATGTGGGATGGGGTCAGGCGGTATTGTCTAGTGAAGGAAAGAGAAGGAGGGTGCCTGGACTGTTATATAAAATTTGTCATCTTGCCTTACAGTACATCCATTCAGCTGACATAATACACAGGGTGAGTATTCATCCGAAGATTGCTTCCTGTACTGAACCAATGTCTTTAAAAAATGTCACACAGAATCTTACAGTGTAGCACCTGTAGAGAAGAAATTTTCCGTGAATTATTTCAGTTAAACGGTCAAAAGGTTAAACATGGGAAGTGGTTGTCACGATCCATAGTTTCTATTCCTGCTTATGTTTGACTTGTATCTTTGTGAAATAGGTTCTCTATTTGTTAAATACACATCTACAGCACTGGTGTTGCAATAAGTCTTTATATGTTTTTGCTTATATACGACACCTCTGAGGACCGCAGAAGAGAAAGCTGACTCTGGGATAAAATAATTTTCCCGAGTATGGAGGGTTGATATTTACAGCCAGTTAGAATCTATTTTCTATCTGCATTTACATTTTTGTCTACTTTAGACTTGTGAAACAACATATATGCTGATGTTAATGCTGATGTTGTTTAATTTTTTAGGATTTAAAACCTAGTAACCTAGCTGTAAACGAAGACTGTGAGCTAAAGGTAACGTAATCACAAGGTCTGATTGTTTTGACTGTGATTTGAGTGAATGCCTTGTGGATGTCCCTTGAAGTTAAAGGGACAAAATCATTCCTTGTGGAAATACTTTTGTGGCCCAACGTAATTGTGACCTTCTCAGCTGTAAAGGGCTGTAAGGATGTGTTTTCTGTAGCTGTTCACGTGTTTTTAATGAATCGTCTTGAAAGTGAAGCGGTAACAGCTTTAGTTTGGGTTTAGTTGTTTTGGAGAGAAGATAATCCAGACATAATTCTGATTGTTGGGTCCTACGCTGTTCTAGGCTAGTGTCTTTTAACAGGTTGTGAAATTTAGTTTCATAACTGCTTTTGCAGTTGCACCACCTCTCCTCCACCCAATCCAATAACTGCCTAGTTATTTGCTCTAACTAGTTTGCATTGTTCCACTGCAGTAGTTGGTGGATGTCTTTCTTGTTCTGTAGATCCTGGATTTTGGCTTGGCCCGACACACGGATGATGAGATGACCGGCTATGTGGCTACCCGGTGGTACAGGGCTCCTGAGATCATGCTGAACTGGATGCATTACAACCAGACAGGTAATGCATTTAACTGACACGGGGCTTTTCAGTTCCTGAATTGTGGAAAAAAGAGGTTGTCCTTTGTACGTGCTCCTTTCCATTTGACCACATAAATTGATAGTCATGGTAATTAGACTTCAGTAATGGTGATTAAAAGAAGGAAGGCATAGATTAGTATTTGAACCAGATGTAAATTAAGAATCATTGTGATAGCATTCACAAGATTTCTTTAAATTTGCACCTTTGAAATTGCAATCAGCAAAATGTTGTCAGCACTTACCCTTTATTTTTCCTAGCGCAGTGTTTTTTACAGTAAGTGAATGGAATGTATCTGGATGAGGAGAAGGTGCGTTTCTGGGAAGCTGCTGGGAATGTGCTGAAAAATGTCAAGTTATAGTGTGAAGAAATGCTAAAAAGTATATAAATTTCCCTTCCTTTCCTCTCTTCTTAGCCATTTCTTCACAGTTTTATCTTCCTCATGGTTTCCAGTATCTTCTCAGCAACACACTGTGCTTCCCTGCAATACTTCCAGATCAGACACAGAGAAGAAGAGCAAATTCTGAGAATAGTTCTTGTACAGGAGAGCATATGGATCAAAGAAAATAATGTGCTACTCTGATTTCATATCTCTCTACTGCTTCTTCTTTTCTCTTTTCCTCTTGCATGTATATGGACTTGTCTTGTATCTCTAGTATAATAGTTGGTGGTTGTTTGGGTAGAATTTATGTACGGCCATATGCAAATTCGTTCCTCAGAGTTGTCTTGAACAGGTTTCTTCCTCTTTGTGTAGATTCCTCCTCAGCTCTTCGGTGTTCAATGCATGTTATGCTCTGGAAGGAAAATTTGCCTGATCTAGTGTTCCGTTATTTGGACAAGTTTTAGTTGACGTCGTTACTGAACAGTATCAGTTAGCTTGCAGCGTACCTCAGATTGTTTCAACGCCATAAGACTGTTTAAGGATAAAGTTGTTTGTACTTGTTGGATAGAGTGATTCTATTGAGACTTTATTTTTCTGCATTATGTTGTTTTGTTTTTTATTTTATTTTGTTCAGTTGATATTTGGTCAGTGGGATGCATTATGGCTGAACTGTTGACTGGAAGAACATTGTTCCCTGGTACAGACCGTATCCTTTAAAAGTAATATTTTTTTTTCTGAAATGGAAGTTAGAGATCTTCACTTTTACATACTTCGCAAGAAAAGAAGTTCTGGGTTTGTTTGGTTGTAGTTTTTTTGTTTGTTTGTTTTTAAATTAATGGCTTCTTTTACTCACAGTATGATGAGGTGAGTTCTTGATTTTGCTGCACATGAAACAGTCACAATGTGCAAGAAGGCAAATTTATTCCTCTTTATTGTCTATTAGCATCACTAGAATTACTCTAATGTTGTTTGTTTCTGGGAGTTACTTTCCTTTAAGTTTATTTCAAATCATTGCTCTTTGAGTTTGTAGAGAAAAACTGCATGGAGTAGGCTGTCTGCTATGAATCCTCTCACGCTTCAGGTTTCTAGCAAATGTGAAGCATCCCTTCTGGCCTCTCTTCTGTATCCTGGTGGTATGCTGTGAAAGCAGTGGGTTTGCAGATTTGTTAGTGCCAAGGATCTCATTCCAAATTGCTCTGAAGTGTTTAGGTTCCGCTTCCATGCTTGAGTGTAAACAGATTGCGAGCCTTCTTTTACTGTGTGCTTGTATTGATGTGAAGAATCAAGCTTGAATAACATCTTTCCAAAATTATTTTTTTGCTGCGCCAAAGTGGGCTAGATAGGACACTTTGGCAAATTTATGAGAGACCAGTGAGAGTTGGTCATGATTTTCCCCAGGAAATTAGAACTGAGACTTGATGCAAATTGTCATACTTACAACTCCTGTTTGTTCAGCCACACACCGTATAGGGGTAACTTACTACTGGCAAGATTTTTTTTTTTTTAATTGCCTAAAAATTTGACTTCATTTGTCAGAGAAAATTACATTGCCCACCTCTTACCAAAGTTTATTTTTTCAAGCCCAGTTTGTTTAATTTAATAACTTTTATTAATTTATTAGTATTTATATCTGTTAATTCAAATATATTATCATTTGATTAAAAGAAAACTAGTTTTGGAAGTGTTGATTCGAGTTTTGACAGTTTCATCTGCCTTTTCAATGTGCTTTAACTTTACCCTTATTTTTCTCTTTTTCTGCCTGTCTCTACCTCATAATCTCTCTTCAAATTTGTTGAACTTCCTGTACTTTACTGTTTAGTCATCTCTGCCGTATTTTTCCATTGTCAGGGACAGAAGCAGAACTAATGTGAAAATGGCCTAGAAGCTAGAAGAAAAGTTGCCATATTTCTGTTGGCTGATTTAGCACATATAATTTGGTTTGGGCAGATTTTGTTTGTTTCCGTCAAGAAAAAATGGGAAATCAAAAATTAGTGATTCAAACAAGCAAAAGTCTTTAAGCTGTTGCCACTGTTTAACCCTAGTAACACTTTAGACTTTAAAAATCTTCATACTTGCACGTAAAACATTTGCTAACAGGATTTGCAATATGTAAGAAATGCTTCACAATGTGTTCTTTAAGAATTGAACAAAACGGTTCTCTTCCAAGCCTATGAAGTTTTTTCTCCAGCTGTGTTCTTAGCTGTGAATTACAGCCAGTAATATTTGCAATGCAAAATAAATTTAGGATCTGAATTGTTTCCTTTGTCATATTAAGATACTTTACTAATCTATACCTCCTAGCAGATGCTTGTGATTCTTTACCTTAAATGCTCATTTTCTTTTGCAAATAGTAGTAATGCTTTTGAATTAAATGCTTTTTCTGTTCTGCATTGGTTAGATTTTAAGAAAAATAAAGCCTAATCCTTTCCCATTGTAGATAAAACTCTGTAGTACTATAGTTCTTACAGCTTGTGTGTGTGCTTCCCCACGGAGTAATGTATATGCTGTTTGATCACGAGGTTAGAACTGTAAGGGGAGCAGGGTTTGTGGTTACGAATCTTGTTTGTGCATGTTAACGCTTATCCAAGGATCTAGAAAGGCACCAAGGTGTCAGCTTTCGCTCCAGGTTTGCTGACATCTAAAGGCAGCAAGCAGAAGATTCCAATGGGTTCTAGCTTCTTCCTTCTTCCTGTCTTGAAAGGCTCTTTGAGATCTTTATATATGCATGATTTTTGGAGACAGTTCTAGGAATTTTCGAGATGTAGATCCTGTTGGGTACTTAATAATTTCTCCTAATAATTTCTTTGTACCCACAGATTTGCTGAGGCAGGTGTTCCTCCTGCAGTGTCGCTATGCAGTTGCTGACTTACTGACTTTGCCATTAATATTAACATACTTAATTCAATGTATGTTTGCCATGCTTCTAGTAGCCAAGGATATAGTATATCCAAATCCACTGTAGTTCTAGGGAATTCACTTTGTAATTGGAGGCAATGTGACTGTGTGTTCAGGAAGCTGGAAACTGCTCCCATTTCACAACTGAAAATTTGATGTTCTTGCTTTTTGGCCCGATTACGCTGATTTTTCTCAACTATATAGCTTCACATTACCCACATGAAATCGATAGTGACAGAATAGGTAATGCTTTCTCAGGTTGATCATCCTCCTTGTTTGAAAGATTGGTCCCTTTCAGCAGGGATTTAGCAGAAATGGTGTGATGTTATTTACAGTCCATCAGTTGTTTCTTTATACAGCCCTGAGATGCGTATATAACTTGTAAGGGGCTTCAGTATAGGCAAGATGTACAGTTAATTGAATCTGGTAAGTAATAAAGTTGTGTTCTAAGATGATGATCTTCCATGCTGTCTATGATAATTATGCCACTGGTAAACTAATGATGAATTTAGTTTTGAGTTCTGAAGGACCTGATCTGTAGAGATTCTGAACATGGCTTTTGCTGACTTAAAGCAAGAATTGTAGATACTCTTGCGGGGGGGGGAACCAAACTGTGATTAATATGGATTTAGCTCTGCAGGATTGTTAACAATATTCCTAACTTAAAACTTAATATAAGTGTCGTGGTTTAGGCCAAATCAACTACTGGGGACCTGGAGGACCCCAGATGGGACTGACAGATGCTCTCCTCTACCCCTCTTCAAAGAGAGAGGCAGAGGAGGGAAAAAGAGACTTATGAGTTTAGAAGGAACTAAACTAATTTAATGAAATACTAATAATAAAATAAAAGGAAATAATGAAATTGAATTGTTCCTATTGTAATAGCTCAAGCTGTGAGCACCCTGCTCTAGTTGATGTCCCTGCCCATGGCAGGGGGCTTGGACTAGATGGCCTTTAAAGGTCCCTTCCAACCCAAACCATTCTATGAATCTGTGATCTATGGGTGGATATAATTGGATGAAAGATGGATTTCTAATATTGGTAAAACCTCTGCCAGGAGACAGAGAAGGGGAGCAAGATTGTGGCAAAGACCAGTCAGAGACAAAAACGATTGAGGTAATGAAAATCAGAGTCCTTTGGGCTTTTAATGTGAGGCATAGAGAGAGGCTTTCTTTTCTTATTATCATATCTGTCTTACGCTGAGATCAGTTTCTGTTAAACATGTATATTCTTAATTTTTTTACAGCTCTGGAGATGTGAATGATTCATACAAATAAGTAGGAAAGTTGATTTTTAGTTTGACAATTTGACTTGCATAAAATGATATAAAGTACAAATAAGAATATCTTGAATGTTTTGTACTAGTTTAGCCAATTCTCTTTTTCAGTATGTTTTAAGTTGACTGTATTGCCTTTAAACTCTGAAGAATATTTTATTACTATTTTTATTCAGTAGTATGAGACTTCCATGATAACTAACCAGTCTGAAATTACATATTCTTCTGATAGATCTTACTCTTGCTTGTGGTGGCAGCTAAAACAACTTCTGAACTTTGCTTTGCCTGGATAAGCTCTTGCAATCTTGCGGTGTCTGCTACTGCTGGCGATGGCAGGTTGTGTTCCGAATTTTAGAGTCACCGAGACACATCAGTCGTTGGGCGTACCTTGGTGGTGGCACTTGGGGTTTGCATGCTGCGCTTTCCTTCTCCATGCACATACGGTTTTCTTTTCTTTTGCTTTGTATTTGCTAAGTGTTTTTCCTGTCTTTAATTGCTTATGGCTCGTTTCTCCGGGACGTGGTAGGCCCCGTCCTTAAATGAATGCTGCAATTGAGCGGGTTATAGATGGCAGGCCTGAAACTAGAAGCAGGGGTTGGGTTTTGGCATGCCTAGGGCAGTGCTGGTTACAAGTTCTGTGCTTTCTCGTTTATCTGAGAAGTCACTGAAGCGTATTACACAGTTGTCTTCCAATAGCAATTTTCCCTGGGAAAAGAGCTGGCAGCAGTCTGGGCAGCAATATTGTTGGCACACCTGGTGCACATTATTTTAAATTCCTTTAAAAGAATTTAAATATTTAAACTGAGGTATGGCATGTGACTTCTGAGGCATGTTAGCAGTCTGAAATTTGCACGACTGGTTCTTGCACAAGAATGAGTGAAAGGTGTAAGGGCTGTTTTAAATGGTACTGAAGAAAAGCCAATTTAAATGAGCTAATTGTGGTTAGCATAGCACCCTCTGCTAATTCTCTTACACCAGGAGATATACTGATTTAATTTTAAGCATTGACAATTAAGAGTTGGCAATTCAGCAGCTAAGCTAAATCCAACTAGATACATTGGATTTACTCCTAGGTTTTGGGTATTTAAGTAGGTGAGAGTTGGCCAAGCAACTTGAGAAATGAGAAATTAGTTCAGCAGTTCTGACAAAGTACTGTTTCTAGGGCTTTTGATTCATTTCATATGTAAAGCTTTAGACTAAAGCATACATCAAAAGATAAAGGCTTTAGTAAAAGTTTTGGTGATTTCCTTCATATACAGCTTGCCAGGATTACAGGAACTCTGAGGCTTTTTTTTAAATAAAAAAAAAAAAAGGAAAGAAAAAAGGAGGCAGTATTTGAAGTGCTTATAGTATTTCAGTTAAAATATGTTCTAACAAGGAATTGTAACTGTATCTTAAAACATCAGGAATGCATAGATCCCAGAAAAAACATTGTCTACTAAGTAGACTGCTCTTATTGAAAGGAAAATGTGTAACTAGTTTGATACATTTTAAGGGCAAATATAAACATTACAGACAGTCTGAAATCATTAGTAAGTTTGAAGGGCAGCATGGAGGATAACTTGGAGAAGAAGGGAGATCATTGTTTTAGAGGTTTTAAAAAGGTACCTTGTGTCTCCTTGCTATCTTGAGTTCTAGACATAAAACTGTCTTTAGTGGATTTTTTTTCCCCTCAATTGTATGTTTTGTCACTTATGGCAAATATTTAGTTTATCTACCCTGTTGAGGAGGACTGCTCAGATTGGTAGGTGGGCTGGATAAAACATTCTTTGCATCTGCAGTGTTACGTCCCGAGAACTTTCTACACAGAGGTTTTAAATCTGAGCCTGTGTTCTGTTCTCTCTGCCGCTGGGCAGAAGGGAGATGCGGGTGTGAGGGCTGCAGTCCGTGGGAGCTGGCGGGGGCGAGCACCCCCCTGCCTGCAGCGCCCCGGCTGCTCTGCGCCCGAGAAAGGTGCACCCCGCGTTCAGGTAGAGGGATGCTGTAGGTCGCGAGCAGGGTCCAGTCGTTTTCTTACTTCCTAAGTATATTTAAGTGGCTGAATTACCTTGGAAGGTGTTCACAAAAGGCCTTGACTATTTTTTTAATATTAGCACCAACACTTTTCAGCCTTCTGCCTTACTTCATCTGTCACTAACGCAACCTCATGCTGCTGACTGCATCTGCTTTGGTGTGGGGCCTGAGAGGGTGAAGGGAGCATGTGAACTGATCCTTTGCCAGTGGGGGGAAAGCTTTGACGGCTGCTCCTTGATGATTAAGGATGCAGTGACCAATTCGATGCATGTGGTGTATTGTAGACAAATTGTGCAATCTGTTTTATACAGAGCTGTGTTATGAAGGGGTGTTCAGTTGTAAACGAGAGGAATGAATACGGTTTGCTTAAAATAGCTTTTCAGTCAAGGCCTTGGCAGGTGTTAACTTTCAACATTAATAGGCTGACATGTTGCGCTTTTCATTTTGATTTGTCCCAGCATTTTCCTTTATGGTCCATCATTAGATATTGATCAGTTGAAGCTCATTTTGAGACTCGTTGGAACTCCAGGGCCTGAGCTTTTGAAGAAAATCTCCTCAGAGTCTGTGAGTTTACACTTTGATTGTAATATCTGCCCTTTTGGAAGTCCCAAGTTTGTGTATTGCCCTCCTGTAGTCTATCTGTAGTATGTGTTGGGATTTATTTTCCGTTATTTTTCTTCCTTTGTCATTCTTTGCTCTTGGATGGCTTTGAGTTCTTATGCTGTGTGTATCTGATCTTTATTCCTCTTACCTCTGCCTGTGGTATGATGTCTTTCTTCCATATTCTCATTTTACTGCTTCGTGACTTTTCTTTCAATTTGTGGGTTTATACTTCGTGATATATTGTCTGATCAGATGCTGCTGGGGAAGTATTTTTCACAGCTAAGAGCTTGAGGCTCATCTCAATTATTATTTCACCAGACTGCCTACCCAAGGATCTTTCTTAACAGGAGCAAGTGTGTTATCCTCTAAACACACAGTCCCTTCTGCAGCATGATTAATTTCTGAAACACTACTGCCACCATCTTTGTTTTTGTAGCATAAAATCCAAAATGCCTTTTAGGTGCTTTTATGAGGCAGCTGTTTCCAGGGCATGCAGTGTGTAGTCCGCTGAGAATATAACTGATTGTGCCACGTATTTAACCGGTATGGCTGTATGGGGCCCTTTTATCAAGGTAATAGCAAAAAGCGTTCTGCAGTCTCCTTTTCAACGGGTCACCTCTATTTTCAGCCATACTGCCATTTCTATATCGCTCTAATCTTGAATTGTGAACTTTTGCAAAGGCAGTATTAAATGGCACTTAGTTTTACCTGTTTCTGAAGGTGAAGTGCATAAAAGTTAGAGCAAGAGATGCTGTAACAGTACGGATTAACAAGTTAATGCGAAGTGAGCAATGAGCTTGCGCAGAGGTAACTGTCAGCGTACTGTAGCGAGTCGCTCTGCTGTTTCTGATACGTAATAGAGGATCAGCGTGGTGGAGAGTGATAAGATTATTTTGTACTGCAGCTTATGTTCTATTTCTCGTAACAGTGACAGTAAATGCGAAAAGTGAGGTTAACCTTGACTTACATTTGATGAAGGTAGACATACGGTACAACTGGAATCTATTGGTCAACTTGCTGAATATCACACTCCTTTAAAAAGCCCTGGGATGTTCTGCCCTTGGAAAGGTTGGAAGCAAATAGTGCAGGTTACTTTGGGTGCCCTGTGAACAGACCTTAAGGGTAGTCTGGTATTTGGAGTACAGAGGATTAGTGCGAGAGAGAGAAGCTTAAAGGTTGACTAGGTTAAGCGAAAGATTAGTTTGCATACGTAAGATTGAAGTGGGTCTTTTTCTTTTTTTTTTTAATAGTGCACATAAAAAGAATAGTTGCTCTCATCCAGGTCCAAATCAAGAGTCCATTTTAAAAAAAATACAGTAAAGTACAGTTTTTACTGATTTTTTTTTTTTCTTTTTTTTCCCATTGTCTGGAGATGGCAAAACTATTAGGTGCTTGAGGGCCTTCAGTGTGTCACTAACGAATTCTGGTTTTCTGCTGCATTGCTTTACTTGCTCTTACTTTCCCTGTCTGTTCACTGACATCAGCTAACTCTGTCTTATGCAATGCTAATGTTTTGCTAATTTTGCATTTATTGCCTTCTGTCACCTCGCCCACATATCAAAGTGCATTCAAAGCTGTTTAGAAGGAGGTGTCAGTTGTGAGCCGATTTCATTTTGCACCACAAGGAACTTAAGTACTTTCTATGCAGCAAGAAAAAAGGCTGGTAACCAGTGCGGGGGATACAATTTTTGTTTCTGTTTTAATTTTTTGTTCATCTTCCTGAGGCTGTGTGCAGCTGCAGCAGCCTAGGAAAATTTTTGAGGAGTAACTTCAGCCAAAGGAAACGTCTACTCTGGTGGCTTAAAACTGTTGGGAAATGGTGGACGCAACCGTGTTGTAGTGCAATGCTACTTATGGCAGACAGAAATAGTTTCTGTACTGACACTGTTACCCACTGTTCAGTAATTCTCTGTTATTTTAAGTGTTCACTAGTGCAATTGCTAAACTTTTCACAAATATTTTGAAAAAAATTAGTGGACCCTGCCTGTATGGCTTTTGCCTTGTGGTTTGCAGAAGAGATGCTTTGTATGCAGCTGTTTTCTGTTTAAAATGGTTTTTGCACTGTTTTTAACAAAGCCCTTGACTAGGCACTTAAGATATTAACCAGCTTCAGCAGATCATGCGTCTGACGGGAACACCCCCTGCATATCTCATTAACAGGATGCCCAGCCATGAGGTGAGACCTGAGCAGATGAGGGGGGTTTCCAGGGCAGGTCTTCACTTGCAGTGTTGGCTGCTCCTATAAATGATACGCTCGCATGTGGCATGGGGTGGGCAATTAACTACTTGGTCTTCAGCAAGATTTTTGTACTAAATGAAGACTTGAGATTTGGACAGTGCGTGCTCAACCGCAGCCTTCTAAGACTCAGGAGAGCCTGGATGTGAGTCGGTTTTGCATTGTGTGCCCTGTTGCGCGGCTTACTGACAGACACCCTACTGCACGCAGCCTTCCTGGGACTCCGAGGCAGCCAGCTCTTGCCGCACCTCTTTGCTTTTCAGTCTTGCATGAACCCCAAGGAATGTCAGCTCTTCCTCTGCTGTCTTGTGTGGCCTTTAGTTGGGAAGGGGTAATGCTGATGGGCTTAGTAAGTATCGGAATAAGTGAAGAGAAGGCAAAGCCAGGAGACAGACCATAATAACGTGATTGAAATGTACTGTCTCGGTGGCTGGATTGTATTATACTTCAACAGAGCATTTATTTCCACAGGCAAGAAACTACATTCAGTCTTTGTCTTACATGCCGAAAATGAACTTTGAAAATGTGTTTATTGGTGCCAATCCACTAGGTAAGGCTTGCTTTGGAAGTCTTGTGCTCCTCCTGAACCCGAGGCTAGCGTGTCCTGGGACACCAGGGCTTTCCCAAAGCTCTGTTTTGACTGCAGAAGTAGTTCAGAACAGAGCTCTGTACCACTGTCAAAGTTTACAATGTGTATGTGTGGGCTGAGGGTATAAGAGGAAGAGATTGTGGATGATGGGGTGGGTCCTGAGAAACTACAGATCCCTCATATATGTTGGGCTTTTATGAGCTTATGGTTAGAGTACAACGTCCCATACCTCACCATGTAAAATCCTTTCTTTTCTCTTTCGGTGCTTTTGCAGCTGTGGACTTGCTAGAGAAGATGTTGGTACTGGATACAGACAAACGAATTACTGCAGCAGAAGCGTTGGCTCATGCCTACTTTGCTCAGTATCACGACCCAGACGATGAACCAGTGGCAGACCCCTATGACCAGTCTTTTGAAAGCAGAGAACTTGAGATTGAAGAATGGAAAAGTGAGTTTGGGGGGCGGGAGAGTGAGCCAGCCTGCTTCCCTTGTGGTCCATTCCATAAGCCCTGGTCGTTAGAGGCACGAAAGAAACTGATGAAATTGTGGGCATCCTGTTCATTCGGAGGTCCTTATACTGAGTGAATCTGTCACGTGTTGTGCAGCAAGGAGCTGATTCTGCCCCTCTACTCTGGTGAGACCCCACCTGGACTACTGCCTCCAGCTCTGGAGCCCTCAACGTAGGAAAGACATGGACCTGTTGGAGCGGGGCCAGAGGAGGCAATGAAGATGCTGGGAGGGCTGGAGCCCCTCTGCTGGGAGGACAGGCTGGGAGAGTTAGGGGGGTTCAGCCTGGAGAAGAGAAGGCTCCGGAGAGACCTTATTGCCCCTTCCAGTTCCTAAAGGGGCTACAAGAGAGCTGGGGAGGGACTTTTACGAGGGCACATAGTGATAGGACAAGGGGTGATGGTTTCAAACTGAAAGAGGGGAGATTAGATTAGATATTAGGAAGAAATTTTTCACTTTGAGGGCGGTGAGCCCCTGGCGCAGGTTGCCCCGAGAAGCTGTGGCTGCCCCATCCCTGGAGGTGCTCAAGGCCAGGTTGGACGGGGCTTGGAGCAACCTGGGCTGGTGGGAGGTGTCCCTGCCCAGGGCAGGGGGTGGACTAGATGGTTTTTAAGGTCCCTTCTAACCCAAACCATTCTATGATTCTGTGATATAACTGGTAACTAATTATTAAATGAGCGTACAAACACATAGGTGACATAGTTGCTCATGTCCTCGTTTTCAAACTTACTCACATCTCAGTGTGCTGGACCTATCTCTTACTGTGTATGTTAGTCTCTGAGAATGATGTAACCATTCTTTTTTTTCTTCTTCTTAATTAAACCATGTTTTTCATTTAAAATAGTGTTAAAACCTTTTTAGATTGTTGCAGGTTTTCTTGAGCGAGAGCTGTCTTGAGTACTGCCTGTTAAGTTTCTGTTACGTTTTTCCCACCAGGCCTGACTTACGACGAAGTCATCAGCTTTGTGCCACCACCGCTTGACCAAGAGGAGATGGAGTCCTGAGGAGCGGCTCTCTTCTGTTCGTCCCACTTCACTGTGAGGGGAAGGCCTTTTCATAGGGACTCTCCGATTATCGTCCAAGTGCCTCGTCACAACAATATTCTCCTTGGTGGAGGGGTTTTGTGTGTGTTGAATTGGGGAGGGGGGGGGAGGGGAGGGAGGGAAGAAAGCTGAGTCGATGTAAACATGCTGCATGCTCTCTTGTATTCTGTGTACGGCCTGGGGCAAGCCTTGCAGCCCTGCTCTGACTGCTCCTCAGCCCTTCCAGAGTAACAGCGCTCAGCCCGTTCTGCGCTGCTGGGGCAAGGGAGGGGAAGTTGGCGTTATAAAGTTTGGTTACAATCGTTGCCATTTATCAATTTTTCTACAATTAAGTAACCTCAAAGTAATGGAAGTTGGTTTATAGTCCTCTGTTTTCTTCAGGACTGAAGGGGGGGTTGAGGGATGTCCTCGTTCAATGCCAGATGGCTGATTTTACGTCCAGATCTTCCCGGTACAGCAGAATGTACAGGGCTTCTAATGGCTGATTTCTGGAACATGGAAGAGGTTTTGTTTGAAACTGTAAATATGTTTGTGCCTTAAATTGAATGGGGAGAGAGGGGAAAGGAAGTCTGGAGTGGAAATCTCTGACCCCGCTGTTTTTCAGGGTGAAGGCTCCCAGATAGCCAGGCATGAACTCAATGTAATCAGGAAATAACTTTCCGAGGCAGCAGCCTCTACCCCGGGATTGGGTTTGCCTCCTTTTTTTCCTCTTCCCCTCCCCTTGTTCTGAGGCTCCCCAGCATGAGCTCCCAGGAGACAGAGCCTGGAGAAGATTCTTGCTAGCCACGCGTTTGTGTATTTTCTTCCTTAAAAGGTGGGGTGGTTTTGCATGTCGTAGCTGTATGTGCATGTAGAGCTGCTTGATTTTTGTCGTCACTTTTTGGGGATGGCACTGGGGCAGTTAAACCGTCAGTGAACTATTTTACTGAGTACCTCAGCCAGTGCCATGAAATCACAGCATCCTTCCTCTTGTGCAGCAGCTCGTTGTGAAATACCTGCCGTTCTGGAGGCTTCGCCGAGGAAAGGATAAAATATATGGCATAGAAACATGCACCTTTTTCTTTGTGTTCTGACCTTCTGACTTCAGAGGAGGAGAGCTTGGGACGGAGGGTTTCTTGTGAGATCAAATGTAAAAAATGTTCTTCAAAGAAAAAATTGTGGCGTCTGGTGCCAGAAGTTAAGTTATTTCCCGAAAAGGTTTCCTTTATAGAAGTATTGGAATCCAAAGCAAAGAACTAAGCATGCATAAAACCACAATCTCCCTTTCACTGTCTATATCTATAAATATAAATATTTATATATATAAAACTAACATTTACTAGAGGTTGGTGGTTGTTTTTTTTTACCCTCTCAGATAAGAGCTTCTTGGCTGGTTTTTAGCAGGTTGATCTCTGCCTGAGGAAAGGTGAAAAGGGAGTTTGGTTGAATACAAATGTGGTTTAAGTATTTTGTGTTTTACAGGACTCTGCCTGAGCGCAGTGCCCGGCGGTGGCGAGGGGCAGGAGGGAGGTTTCTCAGCACGTGTCTGTGCTAAAGCTGTACCCGGGGAGCTCAGGAGCCCCGTTTTAGGACTTGTGGAGAAGACGTTTTTAGAGACTTACTTGTTGCAGGTATCCTGTGCGGACAGCGTACCTGCGTATGTGAGGAGAAAGGCTTTTGAGATATTTTGTGTTCTTGTTACCGATGGGACGGAGAGGAACTGTTTGTGGTGGTTTTACCCCGTGTTTGAAAGAGGCAGCACAAAGGGATGGGACGCGGATGACAAAGCCATTGATTCTTCCTAGGCTACTTTCCAATGATCTCTTCAGGTCAAACACTTAATAAAGGTCTGGGGCGAGATGGAGAGAGCAGTTATGCCCTGCTCTGGGTTAAAACTCTCCTCAGACCAACAAAATCAAGACGGAAAACCACCCTTTTCTGCTGGACCAGCAGTCCAGGTATTCAAATGAAAATGTAGATATACTATGTAAACCTACAGCAAGATTATTTTTATCAGCCATTTTATGTGTAGATGCTACAGTGTGATTTCATGCGGAAATATTGCTAAAGATTTTTAAAAAAATATAGACGTCGTGTGTGCGCGTGTGTGTGTGTATCTGTGCGCGTGTGTGAGTGGGAATGTTTCATTCGGAGTCGGGACTCTGGCGGGAGCCCGCGGTGGCATGCACTCCCTCCCTTCGGTGCGCTGCTGTTCAGCCGCTCGCAGCCTGAACAGGAGGACGCACTTCAAAGAAGAGATCGGCTATTTTGTTTCTACCCATGAATTTTGCTGTAATTGGTTATGCCAGATAAGATGTCACGATACCACTGGTTAAAAATAAAACTTATTTTTCAGATTTTCTGCGCTGATGGTACTTTCAAACCCCTGGTACCACCGGGTGAATTTCTCCCTCGTGTCGCGGGGATCCTGTCTGTGATCCTGGGGCGGGGGGGACGAGGCCGGGTGACTTGCTGACTGCCTCTCTGCTGACACTGGGCATGACCCCGCGTGTCCCAAGGGAATTCTTTGCTACAAAACCAGCTCAGAGTCTGACCATCAGTACTGGACACAGAAAAAATACTTTTATTTTCTGTTTAGTACAGGGAAGCGTGTATTCAGCACAATAGACCCACGTTCTGCTACTTGCCTGGACTGGGGCCCTTCCCCAGTAGTACTGGTCTGTGGTTCTTTGCTATTTAAAAATGTTTTTTTTTCCCTCTTCAGCTGCCATCTAGTTAGTGGTGGAGGGTGTTTCTGGGAGCAGGAGCATCGTTGCTCTCCGTAGTAGAGATTTGCCAGCTTTCACTTGGACAAACAATTGCCCAAAGCTGTGTTCTTCACCCGAACAAAAGCCTCAATAGCTGAAGTTCCCAGGCCTTGATAAACCAAGGTGGCTCCTGCTGGTCCGAGTCAGATAGCCAATAGCCACAAGGTGTGTGCTTTGCTGTCACAGAGCTCTGCAGCGGCTGGTCTGCCCAAGCACAGGGGGAGGTGTGGAGGTGCTCTCTGAGCGATGGGAAGCTGCCTCCCTGCTTGTTTTCACCTTCTGCTGGCCTTGGAACGAATTGAGAGGAGGAAAAAAGCCTAAACTGGACCTGTCACATTGTTTTCCGGGAGAAAAAAAAATAATCCACAATTGTGCTCAGTTACAATATATCCTGGTCAGAAAAAAAAAAAACAAACCCTAAAATCGGTGAGAACTGAACTGGGGGGGGAAAAAAAATCCACCTACAAAATCAAATTACTTAACTCAAGGTTTCCTATTCATTTTGAACCGGTCACTTGAATTAATTCATCTTTCTAAAGCCAAGACATGCCCTAGATATTCAGAACTCCTTAATTGTGCGCTGATTACCTGCGTGTGCACGTGGGGTTGTGCAAGAGTTGTGTTCATAAAATGACAGATGAGTTACATGTTTGCTTATGTACTGGGAGCTGTTGCTGTAACACCTCTTGCTCACAGGTGTATTTATAGAACCGAGCCCATCCTGGGTTTATTTCCTGACTCCGCTTATTTACACGTATATACGTAAGCAAGGTTAAAAAACTGCCACAGCACCTTGTCCCTAGTTTGTTTTACAAAGCGGCGACCTGGCCGTGGCTATTAGAAGAACGTAAGGGCCACCGCTGGTGTGTGTTGTGGCAGTTGCCTATAAGGTGGAAAAATGAATCTTTCCTAAAACCCCCATGTGCTTTTTCAGGAGTTCCTATTTATCGGGTAATGGCTCTGCTCCCGCTGCGGGGAGCTGCTCGGGGCAGGGAGACCTGTGGGGGTTAGGCTGGTGGGGGAGAGCCCGGCGCGAGCGGCTGGGCTGGCTCGGTTGGGCACAGCTGAGTCACTTCCTTTGGGAAGTATGTAGGATGCTCCTACCTGCGGTGCAGGAGCCCCACCTGCGTCTCCTCAAGTTGGCGCAAAATGTTGAGGCGTTCTCTGCTTACCAGGAGCGGAGGGAGCTCCTCGTGGGTTGTGTTTGCCGCTCTGGTGCGGTACCAGCAGGCACAGCAGTGAACTTGGTTTTGGTGCTGTCCAAGAAGACGCAAGAAGGGGTTGGACCAGCTGCAGGAGGAGAAACCAGACCCAGCAAAGCCTCAGGCAGGAACAGTTCTCAGGATGGTCCCATCTCGCAGCTGCTCCTCAACCTCACTGCAGTCACCCGGACGAAGGTGGAAAGCCTCCGCCTGCTTTCACCGTGTGCCCGCTTTGCTGGGAAGCCGGGCTTGGGAGAAAATCCCCATCGCTTCCTTGCTCTTGTGTGGACATAACACCCTGGTGTCCTTTGTCACGAGCCAGGAGCTGTCCTCCATCAGCTGGAAAGAAGAATGTCCCCGCTTGTCTGACGAGGCGCTGTGGCTTGTTCCCCAGATTCCCCGGCTCCACAAGTCCTTACTCATCCGCTTGTTCAGAGGAGGGATTTCACGAGACCCCCTGTGAGCCCCACGAGGACATTTCTTGGCTGGTGGCCCGGTGGAAGCAGGACAGCAAGAGCTGCAGGTGACGGTGGGGCTCCCGGAGGTGTGCCTGTGCGGGGCTGGGTGCTCGCTCCCGTACCAGAGTCCAGAGGCACCTGTACAAGACCGAGGCGTGTCGGGAAACCTGATGCCTCACCTCTGCCGATGTGGAGGCGGAGGGAGGAGGGCCCAAAGACATGTCCCTTCACGCTCGCAACAGCTGAAAACGGAGAAGGAAACTCGCTAGAGCTTTTTTCACCAGCGCAGGCGGCCTCGCTGTCCCTGTCTCACCCCAGAAGCCCTCCCGTACTCCAGTACTCTGGGGGGGTGGCAGTCCCGCACCCGCCGGGCGATGAACATCGCAAGGAGAAGAGGTTTTTACAGACAGGAGGTGAACAAGACCCTCTGGGAGCTGCCCAGGAGATACACGTCCCTCCACCCCGTGGGGTCTGGAGCCTACGGCTCGGTGTGGTGAGTGGGGTCCTGCCTGCACCGCCGGCAGCAGCGCGGGGCGAGCTGGGGGTGTTTAAAGTATCATACCGGGAGGGGGGAAACGAGGAGGTGCCTGTCAGCACCCCTCCATTAGGAAAGGCCATTTGCATGTGTGATGAAGGCGTTTTGCCTCCTGCTCCGGTGCGGGCAGCGGGTTGGAGACTTGGGTCGCTTGAAGAAACTGAGATGTTTCCTCCCGTGGTTGCCCCGGGTGGGCTCAGAGGGGGGTGTTCCCACCCGAGCTCGCCTCGGCGGGTGTCCTCAGGCAGCGGCTGGAGGAGCAGGCAGGGCTGCGAGCGCAGCCTGGGGGTCACCTCCACCTCCGGGGGGGGCTGGCAGTTTTCATGCTGCTTTGGTCTTGAGCTTGCGTGAAGATTTCTGTCTGGCAACAAAGGTGGGGGGGAACACCTGGGTGTCTGAAAGCAACGCGTGGATGATAACAGAGGTGGGTTGTGGAACAGCAGCATGTCCTCTGCAGCGTGTCCTCGCTGCTTGAGTGCGAGGCAGCTG